AAGGACGCAATTGAAGACGTGAGCGGAACACCTTGCAAGTCAAACAAGGCTCAGAAGGCGGAATCGGTGGGAAGCGCCCAAACACTTCCATCGCCAGGCAAACAAAACCTCAATGCGAATGCGGAATCCTTCACGCCAACGAACGCCAACGCGCAGAGGCTGCACAACTCTGTCTCTGCTGCCTCATCTCTCCGCAGACAGATGAGCTCTTCTTTGAGGTCCGATACGCGAGGGAGCGGTGTGCGGGGGCAACCACCACCGCCGCCGCCACCACCACCCATGTACCAGGCACCGATGATGATGCCGGCGATGATGCAGAATATGCCACCGCCGCCACCGCCGCCGCCACCGCCGCCACCTCAGGGACCGTTTTACGTTCCCCCACCTGGCATGCAGCGGCCACCGTCAACTCTGATGCAGCACTTTGTTCCAGGCCTTGGGTTGGTGCAGCCGCCACCGCCACCACCACCACCGCCACCACCGCCGCCGTTCATGCAGCCGCCGTGTGGCACGATTCCCTTCCCCCCTCCTATGGGTGTTCCGATGCCACCGATGATGATGGCGAAAGGCGCAGAGCAAGGGCTGATATCGCCGGCGTTTTCTAACGGCGCCCTTACACCAACTTCAGCACCACTCCAGCCACAGCAGTCGGTAGGTACGGTGCCCAAACCGCAGAGTACACGTGTGAGTGTTGGTAACGCCTCACTGGCGGCTCTAGTTTCGAAGGAGCCGCCCAAGTTTTCGTGCGTGCTTCTCTCCGGCATTCCTGCAGTTGGCAAAACGACGATGGGTCGGGAGCTGGTGAATGAACTGCGGAAGGATGGATTTGGCTGGGTTTTCTTTTCAGGCGCCGACTTCCTCGCAGGGACGACGGCAAAGCGACCAGTGTGGGAGACAACAAAGGAAGTGTTTGATGCCTTGGAGAAACGCCTTGACGAACTCCTTGAACAGCAGCGGAAGGAGCGCAACGTGAAGGGACTCGTCATCGACAAGAATGTGAAGGGCATTGAGGATATTTATTACCTTTCGGCGCTGCTCAAGGCACGGAATATTCCGTTTGTCGGCATTGTGGGCATGGAGGCGGACGGCGACGATGTGCTTTTGAAGCGCATGGGAGGTGGCGAGGAGCTGCGCGAGAAGCTCAAATACCACCGCGTCATTCACGCCAGGGTCCGCGCACTCGCGAAGGCGGCCGGCATGTATCGCGAAATCGATGCAACCAAGTCGAAGGAGGAGGTGCTTAACTCGCTGCGCACAATGGTGCTTGGCTGTTGTGCACAGCCGCCGCAGCGTGGCATCCGCATCGACTTCTACAGCGACTCCATCTCCACAACGATGGAAGACAACCACAAGGAGTACTGCGCCGTGGTGACACGCGTTTTCGACCTCGTAAAGCCGGCAAAGGGACTTATACACCACTACCCCGGTACCACGGAGTTCGTGCCGTTCTCCACACGCGAGATGTCGGAAAAGAACCGCGTCTCCACAATCAAGTCGCACTACGGCGTGCGTCGCCTCAACGACGGCTCACGTCATCTACTGCTGTACCACGAGGGTAGATTGCACCTCATCCCAACGCATCTCAAGGCGGTACTGCGTATGTCTGAGAAGGCGTGGTTGGGGAGTAGACTGAGCGCCGTCGGTTGCTTTGTGCTTGAGGGCGACCTTGTGCGACTCAGCAAGGACCGAAACAGCGAGAAGTTTCTTGTCTTTGATGCCCTCTTCTGGAGTGATGCGGAGAGGCCGGAGACGAACATCGTGATGCGCATGAACTGGGCGGAGCGGCAGGCGTTCCTCGTTACACACCTGTGCGCGGAGAAGAAGGCCTTCTTTCCCGCTGGCTCTGACTGCGTCGTTGTGCACCAGGCTACGGTAAAACTGGAGGAGATCCTCGGTGTGCTTGAGCCAGCCGACTACCCAGGCGATGGCGTTGTGTTCCAGCCGGTGAACCCTATGCACAGCTCCGACAAGGTCTTTGTGTGGCGACCACCTGCGAGTATCACAGTTGACTTCCGCATCGGCGCGCTAAGGAGCACGGCACCGGATCTCGTCGTCACGGAGAGTGGCGCAAAGGAGGCGGAGGTCGTGCTGGGGAGCAGCATACATAGTCACGCCTCTGCCTCTGCCTCCGCACCGCAATATATGCAGCAGTCACAGCTAACCAGTGTGTTTTCTTTAGGCCAGAGTATGTCAAGTCAGGGGGGTTTTGGGCGCAGCATTCTTTTTGAGAATGCGCCCACAAGGACATTTGAGCTTGAGGTGTACGACAAGTTTGAGAAGGAATACACTCAATTTGAAGACTGCACTGTGGAGGTAAAGCACCCGGACGTTGTGGAGGGCTGCATATGCACATGCGTGCTCTCGGATGAGAAGGCACGTACATGGACATTCCAGCGCATCCGATATGACGCGCTTCGCCCCGCATATAAGCGAGACGTAGAGTCTCTGCTGGAGCACTGCATCATCCCTAAGGCCAAGCTGTTGCAGTGGCTCACACATGAGAAAATTGTGCCGCCACCACCGCCGCCGGCTGACACCCCGCCGCTGCCGCTACCACCACATACGGGGTTGCCACCGCCAGAATCAGCGACATCCAGCGAGGCAGCAAGCCATGGACACCATGGAGTTGTACTGCCGACGTACGCCAGCGCCGTCATGATGCAGCAAGGCAGCGCCACGCCACACGCGTCGCTGCGGATGGTCCCGCCAGTTTCTGCAACGGATGGCGCAACGGGATATCACACCATGTTTGTAGCGAGTACTTCGACCCACAGCAACGCTTCACATGGGACTCCGACACCGGTGTACCCACTGCCCATTCACAGGTCTCAAGGCGTGACGCACACAACTTTAGTGGGACACCGCCCGCAGACGCCGAAATCCATGGCGATCGTTCCGGAAAAACATCCTGTCTCGGAGTTGGAGTTGCTGACAACGATGGTGCCATCGGTGCACATTGTGCGAAGCGACAATACAGAGGATAAACACAGGGGAGGAGCCCCTGGAGGCAGACAACTACAAAACCAACAACAATTGCAGCAACAGCAGCCGCGTGATCGCAACAACAAGCGAGCACATGCTGCCGAAGAGAGAGAAGAACGTGAGAGAGGTGGACACGGCAAGACAGCGGTACGGCACGGCAAGCAGCAGCACGGCGGCAAAGGAGACAACGCGGCGCCGGATGAGTGCGCACAGTGCCAAAAGAAGAAACAACCCAATGACCTCCGTCTCGACAAGCGGGACCACAAGTCCTACTGCTACAACTGCTGGGCGAAACTGGGATGGGAGTTCTGCCACGAGTGCGGTGATTTCCGTGAGGGCTACCGCGAGCGCACACGCCGCCGTGTAGGCGAGTTCTATTGCAACAAGTGCTGGGCCTCCTTTAACAAGGACGACGATGAGGAGGACGGAGCAAAAAGGGGCAAGCAGGCCACCAAAAACCGCAAGGAGGAACAGCGACAGCGGCAGAAAAGAGAATCACAGGTGAACGACGTGCCAGATGGTAACGGTGGTGCCGCAGCAAAAGACACCACAGCAGTCGACAAACGGGACGCGATAGAGCGGCGGAATGCGCGGCGTTCACCAAAGGACAGCAAGAAGGCCCCTGCTGGCGTCGGTCCTGCGGCATCTGATACGAAGGAGAGGTGCGAGGATGATATACACCGTGAAGATAACCCCAAGAATACGGAGGGGACGCACGGTGGGGAAATGGGAGGAAAGGAGGTGACAAAGAATGAGACAGGAGAAGAGGCATCACGGAAGGAAAAACCGAAAGATGAGGAAAAGGAACTAACAAAGAAGACAGAGGAGGCGGCAAAAGAAAACGACAGAAGCAAGAAGGAGAAGGAGACACCAGGTGATGCCGGTTCACCGGAGTGTGCCGCTGTACCACAACAGCAGCAGCGACACACAAAGGAAGATGCTGCGCCACATCAAGCAGAGGTGCCAGCGGAGTAAACCATGCGCTCCGATGGGTGGGTTCGTCTGTACATGTGTGCGTATGTGGGAGTGTCCTCCATGTGTGCTTCTGTGTGTGTGTGTGTGTGTGGGCGTGTGCTGGTAAATATAACTCTGTGTGCGTGTGCTCAAGTGCACGTGCATGTATTGCGGGCTGCAGAAGGCGGGGGGCGGGTCCGGCGCCGACACGCTTCCCCTCTTTTGTTCTTCCCTCTTATTCTTCCGCTCCTGAATAGGCGACGCCATATGCTTTAGGCTTTCTTTGTTTGGTTTTGTTCCCCGTCTCCATGAAGCCGGGCGAGAAGAGTAAGATATATTGTGCGGAGCGGGAAGGCGACTTGACGACGATTCTTGTTCTTTTGCTCTTTCTTCTTTGACTCACTCACTCTCTCTCTCTCGCACACACACCCAATCATTTACTCACTCA